CCATTTCTTTCAATACCCGGCATACATGTCCTGTAACGCCTTCCTTCTAACTTGCGTGCACGCAACACACTGTAGCCAAGGGAAGAACGAATATCGAGCTGCGAGAGCAATTCATATTGGCGGACGGTGTCAGCCAGACTATGACGGCGTTCAGATCGAAGCCAAGCCCAACCTCGACGCTGCAACGTACGCCAATCTCATCCGCGAATGCCGGACCCATCACCAAGGTAACGTGTGTGTCACCAATCTTCTCGTTCCCCCATAAATCTTATTTAAATCACGATTCTTACATCTTCGAATTAAAGTACAATCTTGAAGATACTTTAATTTTGACGAATTTTTGTAGTCATGATTCAGATTTATGAGGGAACCTTAAGGGCCTATTCGCATGAGTAGACGAGAATCTATACGCAAGTGTTGAACCAACGACTGATTTTCACGCGGAGAAAAGTATTTTTACTTTGAAAGATACGTTGATATTTTACAACGAATTACTTTGTCACTGGTGTATTGGAATATCGTGTAGTCATGCGAACGAGTCTTAATACTCTCGTATATCTCTATCGCTCCATCGAGTCGCGCCTTGTCTCCCCGCGAGACGAGAAACGAGTGCAAATACTGGACCGCTGGATCGTTCGTTGAAAGCCGATCGATGCTTCATTGGGGGAATGACGTTGCGGAGTGTTCCTTGGTTCGATATCGATCGCAACGTTGCACGCATAGAATGATCATTTCCTTGTATCTCTTTCTCTGTATTCTACTTCGTCTTTGCTTGATCCTTTAGTCCCCTTTCTTTCTCTCGTCTTTTCGCCTTAGCCTCGTTCGAATCGTCGTCCAATCTTGTATTACTTAGGTAAGTACAAACTACCTGACAGTCAAAATCAGGGACTATTTTTATCATCCTCTTGGATTTATACCTTTTTTTTTTATATATCCCAGCATGAAAAAAAAGCATGACAGCTTTAAAAATGGTAGCAGCCGTCGCACATAGAGCTACCTAGTCCAGCCACGCACCTTCGAGGTAGTCGCTTCAGTCATTCCTTTTCCAAGTTCATATCGAAAGATTCCATCGACCTTAAAATTCCTTTGGGTTAATACCAACCCAAAAGAAGAAAAGAGAAAATATTCCTAATTAGCCCCTAGCCACGCTGATGCGCCTTCGAATTCGGGATCAACTACGGGTCGTACCGTGAATCGAGACAGTCCTTGGCGGCTGTTTCCGCCAAGAGGGAATAGAGAGTACCTCACCTCAGGAGATGCGATTTCACGAGACTCTACTTCTCTATTTTCTTTCTTTTTTTTCTATTTTTTCTCTCTCTCTCTCTCTCTAATCTATCTCTCTGTATTTTGTACGAGTCTGTACAAGTTTTGTAGTCTCCTCGACGTTCGATTTGGTCTGTCCACACGACGAGACGAACGTATGGATCTTTCGACCGAGGAGAATGTTCTCAATTGAGAACAGTTAAACGAGCAAATTGATTGTAACAAAAATTTGAATGGAATATCGGTCGAAAGGTCTGTGATGAAGTTCGCTCGATCAGGCGGACAAACGAGAGAAAAGAAAAAACGGTGTTCTCACCGCAAATTACGACCGGTGTATTCCTAAACCTTTTCGTTTATGGTGTAGCGGAGGAGTTTATGAACCAGCTGACGCCGATTTTTGAGAGTTTGAGGCAAAAGGAGGACCTCCCGTGCTCGTATCCCCTCCACATGCACGCCCCCTCTTATCATTGGGTAAATAAGAAACAAAACTCTGTCTACTCTATAATTTCTGCTGTCAATGGTGTGTGAGACACGGTTTATACCCAAATATCTACTTATAATAATTAATATATATATATATCTAATAATAATTAATATCTGTCTCTTATAAAATGTTATCTTTACTTTTTGTTTTGTTTTTCTCTATCGATTTTCTATCAGCGGTTTTTGTTTCTCTTCTTTTTTCATTTCAAGTTTTATGTTTGAGTGATATGTCTTCCTCGAGTGCGCTTTTCAGTTCCCCGGTACAATATGACGACCAAAGGGAACAACCGCCTCTGTTGTTCACGATTTCAACGCCCAAAATAATAATATGTACATAATATATACACATATATATCTGAAGTAACCGATCTCGCGATCCCCACCACCAAATTCTTAATCTCTCTTACTTTCTATTTCTTTTTTAATTTATAAATTTGCGCTGCTGCTGTCGCTGTCGCTGCCCTCAGCATCCCCAGCAATATCGTTATATTCGATGATATAATCGCGTAGACGAGCGCGATTGATAATAGTCTATGGCATATATCGCAGCTTTTACGAGAATCATACATGCATGCGGTAGAAAATTGGTAGCCTTAGCTTTCTCTCTCTCTCTCGACGTTTCATTTATTATCACGATATTGAATAAATACGTCGATTAACGCGATTACGATATTCGTGAAAGAAGAGCAGCGCATGTATTGAATACACGTGTGTAAACCGTTCAATCTCGTTTTAAGTTTCGCAGCAATAGAGTTTCCCCGGGGTTTATTATTACGTTTCATTTTCACGTTCGTCAGCCTGATTTGCCGACATTATTTCGATTGGATGCCTCTGGATCGATCTCCCCTCCCCCGTAGAACGAACCGGGATCTCTTCCAGCTTTTGTTCTGTACGATCGATGTCCTCGATCGATTCGAGAGAAAATGAAAAAAATATGTATAATTTAGTCGATTGGAAAGATTCGTTTGAGATTCGATTGGTCGAGGACGTCGAGCGTTCACAGAATGAATTTTTGCTCGCGAATTCGCGCGTCGCGGATACGGTGAAAACTACTGTATCGATATACTGTGCATAACGATCTCCTGTATTGCTGTATTGGTGCGTGCATAGTGGCGTTGATCGGAGATACTTCGAATCACCATAAGCTACTCTATCTGTCCCAACTTCCTCTGGTAAGTTTGCATGGATCTTGTTTTTTCGTTAGACGTAAAAATCACTCTCTCTATTTATCGAACTACCACGGTGGTCTCTCTCTCTTTCTCTCTCTCTCTCTCTGGTTTTTTTGTTTTATTTTCTATATACTCTTCCTTCGATCGATCGATCGATCGGTTTCTAGTTCGCAACGGTGGCGTTGAAAGGTTGTAAACGAACGACCGAGCAGCACCGCGAGATTATCAACTTTGTACACGCGATGTCATCGATCAAAATCGTGAATTAGAAGGAAATTTTCAATGGGTAAAAAAAATTCGAAGAGATTTCCCTATCTCTTTCTAATTCAAGATTCGTTCGAGTAACTCCACGAACTAACAACATCGACGCGCCGCACTCGCGCGTCGACAAATTTCAACGAGAAATTCCTCGCTGTTTGTCTATCTGTTTGTTTGCCTCTCTGTTTCTACCGCGTGTACACTCGCTCCTCTGGTAGAACGACGTGTTTTTTTCCCCAATTTTCTTTCGTTTCCGTTTACCCGAGCTGAGCTTTCTGTCGCGTAGGTGAGGGAACGCAGCGCTCGGAGCGTTCCCATGGGACAATCGAGGGCCTCGCGCTCATCGTTGAGTGCCGGCACGCCTGATAGTCTGAGCGATAACGAGAGTTGCTTCAAGATCGGCACTGCCAGGAAAACGAGCACTCCTTATAGGAGCACTATGACTCCAGGTGAATAAATCTACGAAACGTTAATTTTCTATTTAATTTGAAAAGCTTATTATTGATTTATCAAATACTAAATATTTTTTTATTAAAATTTTTATATAGGCGGTAGTCGTCCATCAAGTAGACCAGCGTCAAGACCAACGTCCAGACCGACCAGTAGACCAGGTAGTAGGCCTGCTTCTAGGCAAGGTAGCAAGCCACCGAGTCGCTATGGTTCCACACAGTCGTTAGATAGCACTGGTAATAATCTGGAAAAATATAAAAAAAAATTATAAGTAATGTATGTAAATATTTGTTTTTTATTTCATTTTTTTTTTTCTATAACAAATTACAGACGATTCGACCAATATGAGCAGAATTCCACGAAGAACAGCAGTGAGCACCACAGGAAACACTCCTACATCTAGCAGGCACAACAGCGTCTCCGGAAAGCGTTTACTAACACCTGTGAACGGTTCGAGTTCACGACCACGAACACCCACTGGATTAGTTAGTCCTGCCAGTGGTGTTCCAGCTAGGTTCGTAACTTCATTACGTGTCCCATCGTGTGTTCATCTGAGACAAAAGAGACATGGATATTACCTACGACCAACTAACTCGCATCTTGTCGAATCTAGATGATTTTATCGCATCGTCAATTCGTGGTAGAGAGACATTAACGACAGATCGTGATGGTATCGTGACGTTATCTCGCATCTCGTACAACCTATGATCTTGGAATGATGTTGAACGTTGTTTCTCATTATCCCCCGGCATTTTGTTACCTTACCATTTTGTTTCTCTTTTGTTACTCGGGTTTCAACGAAGAATTTGGAGAAGAGTATAATCGCGACATTAGAAGCAACGCCTGTATTAACCGTACCGTTTACTCACGTGTCAGTTAACGAAGATTAACATAAATTTGGTTAATAACATTTTTTTAGGTTTGGCACAATCCATAGAGCTTCGAGCATTCCAACCCTGACTGGTGTCGGCACACCGATCAGGTAAACTAAAATTATCGACTCCGACCGTTAAAAAAAAAAAAAAAAATTGGCTTTAGCTTGGTTTTTTAATCACGACTCATAATAGCGTATCATGGCGGAATCACACGGTGCAACTTGCTCTCTGGAACATTCTAACAGCTTTTCAAAATTCACATTTTCCATTTAGCCACAATACTCGCGGCCAGTGGGTGCAGGTGTTTCATTATTCTTACGTTCCCTTGTTTTTCTCTTTTCTTTTCTGTTGAGCTTTCGGTTCGCGAAACTTCAGTTAATCGTGCTTTGGATTCGTGGTTGATTAAAGAAAAAGAAAAGGGGAGGGGGAAATGTTTGAAAGGGTCATAGAGAATGAGGCACAGAGATATAGGTATCTGTATGTCGATTGATTAACCTGATTCAATGGTGATGATTTAGCCGCTCGAGGATCCCCGTGTACGTGGGTACGGATATTAAATCCCCACAATCGACGACCAGCAATATTTCCACTCATTCTACGCAAAGCAACCACTCGACGGTTTCTACCGATTCTACCGGGTATGGCCGAATACTTTCCCGCACTTAACACCGATTTGCCTCGCTTCTACTTTACTTTTCTGCATCGTGTTCCGTTTGCATGTATTTACCGGAGTGATTTCTCTTTTTTTTCGTCTCCCCTTCCGTTTTTGTCCTTTGTGCTTTTTGTTTTTTTTTTTAACAATTTCACACAACATTAATTTTCTCGTTAATTTGCTTTAATGTTGATTCCCTTTCAAAGCCACGTTTCTATGTACTCGTTCATCTGAGGCATCCGTAATTGACGATGAACGATTACGTAACGATGAAAATTATCACTCGTAACGATCGTAAGTGTGTTAATTTTCATGGATTTGACTTCAGTATTATCGCATTTAGCGTTTTTGATTTGCAGTATTCGCCCCATTAACGGCCGTCTAACCGTGCACCGCTTGCGAACCTACTAATAATCCAGTGTCCTGTCTTTTTTCTAACACTTATAGGAGCAGCTCGATGTGTACAAATTCAGCAACTAACACCTCGTCGGCCGTTAAGCAAGCTAGGTAATCATCGTTTCGGTCTGACTCGGTTGTATACACTCGGTTGTACTCTTTATGGTTTTTTTTATCGCTTGTGTCGTTGTGATCACGCGTACCGTACTGAAAGAACCCAGACGGACTGTGTACTGGTTAATCAATACGCACCCGATCGACCAGGCTGCGTATTTTCATTCGCGTGATCGATCATTGCAAAACGATCCTCATTGACGAATCGATCGTGTTCGACAGTACACTGATGGCGGCAGAAAGTTTACGATCACTTTCTATGCATGAAAATGCTGAGTATTCTAACTGATCTACATGAATTCCATGTGAAGTCAATGGAGTTTTGATTATGTTAACGAGTACATTGTTTTCTTTTTCTTTATTTCCTTAAACTTCAGCAAATACATCCACTGTCATATTTTAACATGGCTTCTTACACCTCTGAAGCACTCATCACGTTCAACCAGATACTTCAAAGCTTGATTTTCATCAGTTCAGCAATCTTCTAAAGTTTTGAAACTGGAAGTCCTATTTTATCACTGAAAACAAAGGATTTTTACAGCAATTCGTCCAAATACTCCAACATCCCTAAGATCCGCTTTTATTTTGGTCGGAAACTTTCTGCCAACGGTGTACAGCATAAAAAATTCGTTCTAACACTTCGTGCTAATTATCCATAGAACAAGGACACCGTCCAGCGGATCGAGCACGCCACTGCCGCCATCTCTGAAGCTGTCGAGAAAACCGTCAGGCGCATCGGACACATCCGTGTCGACGACACCGAGCAGCCAGCGAAAAGGCAAACCGACGCCGATCGACCAACGGGCACCGTTCCGATTATAGTGGAGAAACAACATAGTAGTCACCAGAAGGCCAAACTAAACTCGAAGAAAAAATTCCTCTACGTGATCGTCGATGATATCGAATCGACGGGACGTCGACGCGCGACGCTTAGGTTATTCTAATATATGTAATAACGATTCGAATGCGAGGCCGCCACCTGAGAGAAAATTTCTCCGTGTCGTAGCTAGCTTTCGCTGCCTCGAGATTTACACGAATAATTTATTAATCACGGTTTTCGATTAACCGTCGGAGCATAGAGAAGCCGCATCTCTCGGGGACGTCCGAATCGAGTGAAAGAGCTTAACACTATTGAGATATTTTGTAAAAAAGGAAACTAAACAAAAAAAAAAGAATGATAAATAAAACATAATGCATACAGGCGCGGGGAGAAGTGAAATGGACGCCGTTGCAAAGCGATCCAAAAGAGAAATTATCCGTGAAACTGGGTCGCGGTTGTAAATCGAGGTGTACCGATTAACCGTTTCGTAATAAGTTTCTTTACCGAGGATTAGCGATAACGATTATTATTAACGTAATTGTAATTTTACGTTATCCGTAGGGACTAGGTTTTTACCGGTCGTAACACGAGTAAAATTGAAATACAAAAAAAAGGTACGGTGGAGAAAAAGAGGAAAAGAACGTTTCGAGGAGAAAAAGAGAAAGACATTCTCTATGTCGCCGCGGTGTATGCGTATTCACGAATCATGGAATTCGACGATACGGCGTACGCTTGATCCCGCGTCGCTGACTTTATATACGTATATATAAATGTCGATCGATCTATTTTCTATTTCGTTGTTCCGTTACCTTCAATCAGTTTTCTTTCTCTTCTTATTTTTTCTCTTTCTCTCTCTCTCTGTCCGTCTGTCTTGTTTGTTGATAGAAAGGGGCCCTACGGAAAGAGCAACAAAAACCTAACGGAAACAGTGATGAAAGAAACATGACGGATTATTGTTGAAGCGTTTAGTAATTGAGGAAGAAAAGAGGTTACGTATTTATGTACATATTGCTCGATTTCTCCGGGTCGGTATCGCGCCGGGAACCACTCCGCGAATAAGACAGTTTCCTAATGAAGAAAAAAAAAAAAGACACAAATTACGCTACACGCAAACGATTGCCTTAGGTCTATCGCCGTAAATCGCTTCCGCGCGACTCGTACCTGCCTGCCGAAGCGAACCGACGCCACGGATGAACCGGAAGGGCCCTACAGACGTCGTAGAACGCATTCATTATACCACGTCGAAATATACAGCCGCTTACGTCCAAGAAATGCAAGAAAGATAAAAAAAAAGAACGGCAAATTTAACCAGGTTTATTATTATAACCCATTGGGGGCTTTGTAAACGACGAATCTATATTTTACAGAAAGGCATTTTTTCCGAGCGTTTCTCTGTCTGTCTGTCCTTCTTTCTGTATCTATATCTATCTCTCTTTCTTCTTTTTTACGTTTTAGGATGCGATACTTAACGCGCGATAGCACGATTCGTACGATGATGCGATTAATCTATTAACTATTCTTAAATGTTAATCTCTGTTTTCGCTTTACTTGAAGGTTCTGTATCGTCGCTACTAATTGCAGTGGAAAAAAAATATACGCAAACGCACACGCATTTGACACCAAAAAAAAAAAAAGTAATCATGGGAGTTAAAATAATTATTTCCCTTTCGTGATTATTTCTACATTTAAAAGAGGAAGAGGTTCTGCATGCTCAGAAAAGGGAGAACGAGGTTGATTCTTGTAAAAAGTATCGTTTATTATTGTATAATCATCGAAATCTTCATCGCGGAACAATCGTACTTACAAATCAGACGCAAACTTAACAACATGACTATGTACAATAATTAACAGATTCATACGAACGAACCGTATCTACGCGATAGTAATCGTTACCACGTTAGACTCGACGAAATTAGTGCCGCAAAAGAGTTGGGACGGATCGAACGGAACGGACGATCGATCCAAGAGCTGTCTCTTCGTTCTCGCGACAGCCGTAATCATTATCCTCGCTCGAAGACCAGTAACAACTAAATTCGATTCGTTGTAAACGCACGAACCGACCGATCTGTGTACCTAAAATCACTACTTGCGTGAGAGTTTCTGAAGCCGTGCTTTCAATCCCGTGGCGCTTAGTTTCAATTTTTCCACCTTGTTTTTACTTTGGTATTTCTTTCGCATCTCCTCCATTCGTTCCTTTCTTATTCTTTGTTGCTCTTTCTTCCAGATATCCTGCGAGATCAGGTATATGAATACATTAATAAATAACAAGGATTATCAACACATTGCCCACCGAACGAATAAGATTTCTATAGAATAATTAGAAAATGAATGATATAAAATTGAAGAATGTTTAATTATTTGACAAATTTTGCGAAATGATGTGGTCTCTCGATTGATTGACAATGTGTTTCAATATATGGCGAATCGCGTACTTTAAAATCCTGGCAAAAGCTCAGCCAAAGGACGAAGAAGTCTTTAGGATCAGCCGCATCTAGGTTTCTTCCTTTCGGCGTGTACTGATAGAATTGCATCACAGCCTTGAATTTGTTTTTCGCCTCGAGTAAGGCTTCCTGTTCGTTCACTAATTCTGCTGCAGCCTCACGGAAGAACGAGTCCATTTTATCTTTGAATGGTGCTGACGATTCAGGATCTGCCTCCACTACGGTGTTGCATTTCAAAGTGCATGCTGTAAAATTGAATTAGAAAAGAAGGAAAGGGTAACGTCATTGACATATGAAATTAAAAAAAAGAAAATCACCTTGTAGTTCCTTTTCTAACCTCTCCAATTCGCCGGAGAGATTCTCAAAATTAATCGTCGAGGCTGCCTCGATATCCGCTGGTTCAGGAACTGGCAATGGCAGAGGTTCTTCGAAATTATGACCCTTCTCTTGATCTAATCTCGCTCTAACGACGTAATGTAGCAACGTAATTCCTGGTACGTTCGATTTCACGTCTCTCAATTTACTCAGAATCTCTAAACCAAATCCATCCGCCTGTCCCCGTGTCCTATTTCCGCCATTCATATAGTTACCAAGTGTAAGAATAAGCGCCATGACTTTTTTCAAGGAACTAGAGTTACGCAGGAAGTCACAGGTGGTTCTTAAATTCGTTAATTTCGACGAATACGAGGAGATCGCGTCTTGGAACTCGGCTTGAAACATCAAACACGCTATCCTCTCTGAAAAGTGATTTATACTGGAGAGTTTCTTGAGGAAAACTTCTGGTCGATCCAGGGGCATTTCGGGGCTCGATTCTTCGAAGGCTTTTATGTCTTCCAGTTCCTTCTGCGTCGGCCTCTGTGAATAATTAAGTAAAAAATATAATTATCATCTAAATTCTTTAAAATTGATTCATTCTATGGTTTTTTTAACCACTTACAACTTCGTATATCTGTTGTAACGCTTCCAAGCTAACCACACTGGTGTCCAAATTGTAAACAGCGTTCTCCACCTCACAGAAGTCCACGTGCAAACTCTTCTCCAGAATGCCCACAGTTTTCGAACGTTTCGAGTCGAGGATCTTGGCTGGCTGTAGTTTAGATGGTTTTGAAGCCTCGTCCGCTTTTTTGACCGGCTTTCTCGCGGTCACTTGACGAGAAAACAGACCGGTGAACTCTTTCATGTCCAGGTTTGTCTCTTCCTCGAGCTCCGCCCATAGTGGAACCTGCTAAAATTACTCTTAATAATTTCAAGTTGATACTACCAAACCACAGATCTTTGTACCAACTATAATTTTTCATTTGTGTTAGCCCTTCATAACCGAGGGACAAAATTACAAATTACACGATAATTTCACCCTACAATATTACCTGTGCGACTGAATCTGAAACGTCGACGGAACCACGCTCTGTTGGCACCACAGGTACCAAAATCCTGGTCCAGTAAAGAGGCTTCATAGGAACCTCGGGACAAAGAGCTTCCTTCCTCATACCTAAACGAGCAAGAAGAACACTCTAATTATGGAGAAAATGACAAAAGGGTAGTGTGACAAGTCCTGTTCTGTTACTCACACGCTCTGCTAGCTGGGTTCCAACCTCCTACAGGAGGTGCAGGTAAAGGACAAGGTCCTGGTGGTGGTCCCTGGGTTCCTCCTGGCGGCGGTGGTGGTGGAGGAGGTCCACCAGGTTTTCCAATCGGCGGAGGAGGCGGAGGAGGGGGTGGAGCACCTGGAATGCCTGGCATAGGAAGCGGTGGTGGCGGAGGTGGTGGACCACATGGTATGCTGCCCATAGGCGGCGGTGGAGGTGGTGGTGTAGGTATTCCAGTGGGTAGGAGCGTCGAAGGTAGTGGAGGAGGTGGAGGTGGTGGTATTCCGCCGGATAGAGGCGTTGGTGGTGGCGGAGGAGGTGGTGGAGGCGGTGGTCCACTCGACACTGAGCTCATCCAAGACGCAGACGAAGGTGGAGGAGGTGGTGGTGGTGGCGGTGGCGGAATTGGAGGACCGCTAATTCCGCTAACAGAAGAAGACGATGACATAGGTGAAGGTGGAGGTCGCGATGGCGGAGGCGGTGGAGGTATGGAACCGATTAGAGATGTCTGTGACGAGGATAGAGATGGTGGTGGAGGTGGTGGCGGTGGCGGAGGTGGTATAGACGCTGCAAATTTTGCTACTGACGGTGCTGGAGATGGTGGAGGCGCTGGAGGCGGAGGAGCAGGTGGTGCTCCGTGAATTTCATCTGTCATAGGTTGTAAGATCGGAGGTGGCATTGGAGGAGGTGGTGGAGGTGGTGGCACCGATGACAACGAAGTTATACTTCGTTGAGACAAAAGTGTCTGTGCCGTTGTAGAACATGGTGGCAGTGTAACGATCGCGTCGTTTCCGGTGACTTTTGCGTCCTTGACGCTACTCCTGGATGACGTGGAAGTAGTGACGCCTGTCGACTGATCTTGAGAGGCATCCTGAGTGACAGGCCTCTCGAAAAGCGAGCTTGAACTCCTTCCTTTCGAGGAGTCGTCGGAACTTCCCTCCGGAAGTAGGCCTGTGGGGGACGTTTGCGTGGATTTACCTTGAGTCGCCTTGTCCGCATTTTTCGCGAGCTCTCGAAGACGTTCTACCTCCTTCTTGAGCGATTCTTTCTCCGAGTCTCGTCTGTCTTTGCCGGAAACAACCCCTTCCGAAGTTAAACTAACCGATATAGATGGAGTGTCTCTGCATTCAGAGTGATCTTCCTGGAAGAAGACGCACACTTTGTCTCATCTAGTCGCGACGACAACTTCAAATAACCGTGAACAATTCGTCTTACTATGGACTCTTTATTCTGTGTAGCACTGTCAATAGTGATCGAACCGATAATACCATCAGACACCAATCTAGAATAGATTCTAGACGCGAACTGTTCAACCTCAACTTCCGTCAGTATCGACTTGAGCTGTTCCGGCAGTGCAGCTATCAACGTTCTAACAATTCTTCGTTCTGCAACAATAAAAAAACGTACACACTTTTTAAAACACACCGGTTATACCCTCGCCATCCTCTTCTCGTTTCTCTTCTACGCGTTCTCACCCTATTATTCGTGTTTCGAAATCAAGCAAAACTCGACGAACCAAAGAAACATCGAACCTGTACAATCCTCCCTGTTTCTGCTGCAACTTATGACAACTTCGTTTATAGCTTCAGCGCCGTTCAAACTTTTGCCTGGCATCGGGGACTTCTCTTATCAGACCTTGTCTAATCCTCGGTGTTTTCCAGACTTAAGATCAAGGCATCACCGATTTCACGGGAAAACTCTCTACGTTCAATCGTGAAACTCGTTACGCGCGTGTTCTTCGCCGTTTGATTTCGTTCTCCAGTAATTCGGTGACGGTCTCGTGATAACTAAACGCATTAACCTCTGACAGCTTCGAGATAATTGCCAATCGTACGACCATTGATGCTGCCTATAACCGAAACATGATGCTCCGCATCATCGTGGCGACCTTGGAACCGGTACCAATCCGGAAGAAACTCCATCTTGATAATTAGTGTTTCCAACGACATGCCTGAATCTGTGTCAGGATGAATATTTTACACGGTCGCGGGCAAGTTTACGCGCGAAATGAGAGCGTGTAAGAGCAGCATCGTCGCACGGTGGACGGTACTCGACTGCGAAAAACATGAGCGAGACACGTGGCGTAGACACGCCTCCCTGATAACCCTTATCATGGCCCATTATCGTTGACAGACATCTATTAATCTCGGCTCTGCATCATTGCAAAGTGATTCGCGCGAGCATCTCACAACAGGCGCCCACGTACATCTCGTTTCCTCGTCGCTGAGATGACACAGCGTGCTTCAAAATATGTGGTCCCATATATCATACTACACGTGTCGTGTAGTACTTCAGTTTCTAACAAGTACACACATTGGAGACAATCTTTCCTCTCGTGTGTTCATTATTCATAGAAAAATTGGAAGCAGAGTAACTCCTCAAAAATAATCCATGTTTTCACACACCACCCTTATTAAAAAATTTCGAAGTAGAGTGATTTTCAAAAAGTAGGTCGCTAAAGAGTAAAAATAGAAATTCGTGTAATTAAAACATAAGAAATACCTGAGATCATTTTCACTATCTCCTTGATTCCTCGAATACCACGAATAATAAATTTATAACGAGCAACACTGGGATCAACTTAAAAAGAAAAAAAACTTTTTCAACTGGAGCACATATTGTGGAGCATCCTGTACATCATTTCACTCGTTTCACGTACATCGAGGTCAACCATGAGAGAAGATATACAAAAGAGTATACTCACCGAACAGCGGCGACATGGAAGACCGTTCGACCTCCTGGCTCTTGATGGCCTCGAACGCCTCCGGAAGCGCCGGCGGCGCCATTGGCGCTTCCTTTTTCGCCACGTCCGCCGCGACGACCAATTCTTCCGGATCAGTGAACACGCTATCGCTGGATGACTCTTGACTAGGCGGCATCGAGGTCTCCGTCACAACCATACACTTGTTGGCTAATCGCCACGAGTCCGTGACCAGTAACACCTCTTGTTGCTTGTCGTTTTGACTAGACAATGGCTCCAGATACGTCCCTGACGGCACATTTTTCTCTGTTATTTCCGTTGGCTCTATCGCTTCTATCGATTTCTCAGATCCATCCTCTTTCTCCGGTTTCTCTTGCTCTTGAGATTTCTTCACCGATGAGTCCGGTACAAAATGGTACTGCGCGAATTTGAAATAAAAATTTTGTGGGTTTTTTTCAGTTTGTACATGTATCGGTGAAATTTATTACTACAGTCACCGACGAAAGTTTTTGTAAATTGTTAATCTAAGGAAGTTCGTGTCTGTTCGTTAATTTCGAGAATGACTGACAATCAACGTCGAATCGTACGTATTTATTGAAGCGATAGTTTAAAATTCCAAACCACTTGAGTATCGGGGTTAGGAGAGAGCCTATCAATAACATGAACGCGACAGTGATGAGCTAATTAAAAAAAAAACTGGTTCCGTAGCCACCTCTCAATTAACCATACATGTATATGTACGAGATATCGCTTTCCTGTTGTCGGGAAGATAAAACACGAGGAAACGTGTCGTTTAAACATGTGCCATTCTCGAGTGGCTGCACCGTGGCGCCAGTACTGCAACCAGTTTCAATCGACACTCTCGAAAAAAAGTTGGAAAAATACCAGTATGTGACCATCGACCAATTTCACATACCTTCACTTAATTATCATAAATTTACAATCGACCGAAATGCCGCTTGAAAGTTCCGATCGTAAAAACCCACTTCAGTTGAATCATTGATGCTGCCTAGGGGTGGAGCCTCTTACGTGATTCCCTTACTCCTTTCATTCAACCACCAATCTTAACACGTTTTCTCTTGTGAATCGGTTTCCGATGTAACTTTCCATTCAGACCGCGTGAGTTACTCCACGCTGGCGAGATTAATAGCTTCATTAATAAGACTCTTTTATGATACGAAAGATACGTGTAAGACTGTAGGTTCATTCATATAAACTCTCCACGTAATGATTTTGCGAACTGTACGTTATTCGAGAAAATATCTTTTAAATGAAAGTTACTCTGTTTCGAGCGGGATATTTTACGGGCGATGGTATCCCTGAAATTTTGAGGTTACCTTTGTCTTTTTAAATAGATCGAGAGATAATAATGTGGAAATGTTATAACGAGTCACGCTGTATATAACGTTTGAAATACACTGTTTCCGTTTGTAATGTATTATCACCATGTACAAGGTGTTTCAAAACGAACGAAACAATCCACCATAACCTCATACCTCTTTCATGAAACATCCTGTATACACAATGAAATCACCGAAATATCGTTTAAGCAAGAACTTCACCACAAGGCATACACACAAACCAGCGACAGAAACACCGAAACACCTTAACCTCATTAGGGACGATTTTTTTTTAATTTAAAAGAAACTTATCGAATATACTTCACTTTCGTATATTTTCTACCACAAGTATTGGAATTTAAAAAAAAAAAAAAAACTGAACGTACACATATACGTCGGTATCCCTGTAGAGGTTAATATAGGGCGTACCAATAATCTCCACCTGAAAGACAGCACCAATTGATCCCATCCCGAAACCTGACCTTTCTCTCGGTAGATCCAGGTGGCCTAGGTGCCTGCCTCTTTTGTCGTTTCTCCCCGGCCTTCTCTTCTTGAATCTTCGCCTGAATCCTTCTAGCAGGTGTCTCTGCATCGTCGCCTGTGTCACCATCGTCCCCAGTATCAGTCGCGTTCTCCAGTCCATCCGCGATGGAACCAGGTGTGCTCGCTGCTGTACCATCGACACCACTTTTTCCCTTCTTTCCCTTCCTTTTTGCGTCGCTCTGCAGGTTGCCCATGTCGGGGTCGCGTGGCTCTGCTGCCGCTTCCTGTGCCCCGCGATGATCACAGGCGGTGGCTGGAGTGGTTGGTGGTGGTGCGGCTGCGGCTGTGGCTGTGAACGCTGCACCGATGTCACGGACATGGAACGCTCTGAATATGTTGACACAGACGCGGGCGATGTCGCGCAGCTTTGCCCTAGTTAACCGCGGCGAGCCTGCGGCTGCGCCCTCGTCTTCCTGCGAAGTGTCCATCCCGGCGTGCACCGCGGTCGATACGCTCGACTCCTCCGTTTCCTTTATGGCAGTCGCCGGTCTCCGCGAGCGTGGATACGCGTTCACGTGCGTCCAGCCACGCTTCTCCGCGAGGAATACGCCGCTACGATCGCGAGCAGTCGCAAGTCCACGGTGATTATTGGGAACGATGCCAACCTGGCCACTGGTTCGAAGGAACTGTCTTTATACTGTTGGTTTATGTTCGATAGAATGGATGTTGTATCGTGGTAAGATGTTGGGAGATTTCCAGGTGAATTTTGCTGGGTTATTGTGCACGGTCGGTAAGGAAGTCTGTGGTGTTTTGTTGCATTTGGAAAGGACATGCAGTGGTGAATTGTTTGGAGGCCTGTAAAGAGATTCGAGGGTTTCAGTGATGAATTAGCTAGTTTATCGTTTACGGTTTGTAGAGACGGATGTAGTATTGGGATTAGGTTTTGTGAGTGAATTTAATTGAGATTTATTTGATGGTTTACCGTGTATGGTCGACTACGTGGTCCTGTAATAGACTGCGTGACTCGATGAGCAATTGTCGGCTGGTTGATGTTGTTGCTGCTGACATGGATAGATAAGCCAGCTCGAGGGAATGAATATGTAATTTGTGTATGTGGTATAGTACGGACCAAGATATAGCAAGTTTGTAGGATCGGTTAAGAATCAACATGTTTCGGGCGTTGACAGGTTAAGCGTCGTTAAAAAATTCATAAAAAAAATACGCAATACGAAGTGAATGGTATCGAAATTACGGTTACTATGATATAAGGCAAGAATGACACTGACAGAAGTTACATTCAGCACCTTCAATAACCTTAGATCGTAAATACAGCTGGTATAAACGGATTAGTGTAAACATGCTAATCCATTCGGACTTTGTATTGTAGTAACCGTAAATCCGTTGCTGTTCGCTTCGTATTTCTGTTATAACGTATTAATAAAGCTTCAGACGACCTGCGTTTATGTAACATTTTGTTCTTATTTATACTCATAGAATATAGCGACAAACTTTGATCGGAATAAAACTAGAAATTGCAAAAATTGAGAATTCTTTTGTATTTGAAATTAAGAACAACTGATATAAAACATTAACCACGATAGATTTCATTAAATGTATAAATAAATAATTCTCTCAAATAACTTACCTAGCCATGTGTAATGTCCGATCGGTCTCGTTAAACTTTCGGCGAAGCGTTAGTCGAAAGATGCACGTGTTTACGTACGCAGTGGTTCTCACGGCGCCATGCTGTCTCCCGATGAAGACCAAAATCTCCCGGATCTATGGATCTCATTCGTTCCGTAACAATGCACAACGTTCGTCACAATCTCTTCCTCGACCACGTTCCCTTTCGAATTATTTCACGCTCTGGCATCACGAGCGACGATGCAAAGTGTCTCGCTCCTCCTCGAACTATCGATTCTCTATTGGTTACCACGAGCAGTAACACTCTCGAGGAGACCTCGACATCGAACAACTTGAAACCTTTTTCACTTTGATTCACACTGATCTTCGCGTCTCTTTCGTAGAAACACACTTCTCCATCGCGATGCAACTCCATCGAATGATTAGGAATATTAAATTTGGTCGATTTCCGTTTCTTTGTTGTACTACGACGTTTCTTCAGTTATTAAAATTCTGTGGGAATTGATAAATAGACGTTTAAAGGAAGTGCAGGGAGATAAGGAGAGAACCAAGGTCGTTCACCGTGAAATTATCGCTCTTACAAGGGAATTAATTGATGATTGCGTTGGTAAATGGTAATAAACTGCACACGTAACGAAAAACGACAGATTGATCCGGCATAAAACACCGGGACTGTTTTGCACAGTCGTACCAACGGCGCAAGTCCGTGAATCCAGATGAGTGACGCGAACGCGCGGTATTCTTAAGAAGGATTATCGATGTGTTCGTTTATGTGCTCGATAACTAATTGGGGTGACCTTTATCGACGACCTCTATTTCCTACTATATTTATCATTTCCATCGACAGTTATTTTGTAATAATATTTTAATATTGTAATAATATTTTATTGCGTATGAGCTATTTGGAAATTGACGTCCGTGCTATTAATATTTATTTAACGCGCCAACGCAGGTAAGAGAACAGGGCAACTAAATAATCTTGTTTCCTATTCTTTTATCTACGTGCTACATTATCGACAGCTGATTGAAAATCATTTGTCTAAACCATTTACCTGCAACGCAACTTCTGAAACGGTGGCAAAGTAATACCGAAGAATAGAGAGGGTGGCTTGATCGCCTATTTTCCGTTATTTTCCATACTTTAAATCGAATGGTATTTCAACGGAAGGAACATTAGAAATTACGCAGTTTCTCATTGGAAGAGTTTATTTGGGTATTCTGAGAAGGACCGGACGGAGTGTTCTGCTCTTGCCGGTCTGCTGGCTGCGTTCAAAGCGGAAGGATCGAGCGTATCATCGAGAACGTCAGAAATGAAATATTATTAGGTTAGTTGATTTTTAAAATAGGAAGTTTTTGAATTTTTCTCTTTTAATAATAGTTAATGTAAATTAGAGCATAATTGCGTCCAGTAAACAGTTTAAAATTGATACTTATGTTAAATTTTTAATTGCTTTCTCATTACTAATAACGTAGACAGTAAAATAAAGTTTCTACTCTATTTTCAAGCACTTTAATTCTGGAATAATTAATGTTTCCTATCAAATAACCATATAGATGGTTATTTATAATTATTAAAAGTCTTAAATAAAATTATTCTATGCCTTAATATAATAAAGCAGCTTAAGATGTTAATTTTGCATTGAATTCATCGTTGCATTCAGTAGATTAGTCAGAAATTGTTTATAACTTTTATTAAAAATTAGAAAAATTAATGTTCTTCACGTATGAATTACAGATGGACCTTCCAGAACACCATAGAAATCAAGGAAACGTCTTGAACATTAGAAAAAATGAAGAAATGAAATTATTTATGAAAAATCAGTTATTTATTGTAAAATAATTGTATAAAATGTATATTACAAAATGTTACAATATACCAGTGTTGTTTTACAGCATTTTACTGTTTTAAAATATCCGCTATTTTATTAAGTTAAAGCATGTAATAATTTTATTTTAGACTTCTAATAATTATAAACTACCACCTAAATGGTTATTTAATACGAAACTCTAATTATTCAATAATTAAAGTAGTTGAAAATAATGCAGAAACTTCATTTTACTATCTACATTATTTGTAATGTTAAAGCAATTAAAAATTGCTTATAGGTATCAATTAAAGATAAGAGAGATGACGAGGATAGCAATAATGAAGAGAGGCAAGGAAACGAATAGCGGTAGACAAGGATAGCACTAGAGAAACGAGTTAGACAAGGAAACGCATAGGGATAGACAAGGACAGAAAAAAAAGTGGCGAGCGAAACCAACGCCATCTCGCGTTTGGTGATCGGAACTACGTCTTTTTAATAGGAACACATGCTATAAACAGAGGTATTAGACAAGGAAAGCACTAGTGTGCGAGAAGGACAGAGAGAAAATACTTCCTATTGGCTGGCGGGCCCCTAAGGTCTGCCAATCAGGTCCTTAGTAAAGTCGGCCAGGGAAAAATCATTAATAACTCATTAATTAGGATGATTTTGTGAACTTTTAAGATTGAAGAATGTAGTGTGGACCTTTAGCAACTTTCACATATAGTTCTTAATGCAATAGACCCTTTCAATAATTAGTTATTAACAATTTTAGTACGCGATGTCGGAAACGATACCGTTTACGTTTATATACGTTTACAGCTTTTCAATAATTTCATAGCTTTCTAATGAATTCCCATGCAAGTAACTACATGCATCTGAAAGGCAACTCCCTGAGCTACATTTTCATGTAATCTTTATTAACATATCAGTCATAGTTTTCGAGATATTAAACATTATTTGGGTGAGTACTACTCTCGTCACATTCAAGAGTATGGATTTTTCATCATTTTCACGCAAATGCGTGATTAATTATGCACTTTCAAGCATGCAGAATGTAGTATGGACCTTTGTCTACATTCTGCAACAGTTTTTAATTGCATAAGTGGCGTGGTTTATTACTTATGAGCAATTGTTTATAAAAGTCGACTATACTCGGGTACGACGAATAAAAGACTCTTCCATATAATGTTTAATAACTATTAAACTAAACGGAATATGTTAATAAAAACTATAAAAGAATGTAGCTAAGGGAGTTGCCTTTCAGATGCATGTAGATACTTGCATGGGAATTTATTAGAAAGCTATGAAATTATTGAAAAAACGGAAACGTATATAAACGTAAACGGTATGGTTTCGATCTCGCGTACTAAATTTGTTAATAACTAATTATTCAAAGGGTCTATTGCATTAAAAATTATATGTGAAAGTAGCTAAGGGTCCATACTACATTCTTCCATCCTGAAAGTTCACGAAATCGTCGTAATTACTGAGTTATTAATGAAAAACCGTAAACGTATATAAACGTAAACGGTATGGTTCCGACATCGCGTACTAAAATTGTTAATAACTAATTATTGAAAGGGTCTATTGCATTAAAAATTATATGTGAAAGTAGATAAAGGTCCATACTACATTCTTCAGTCCTAAAAGTTCACGAAATCGTCGTAATTACTGAGTTATTAATGAAAAACCGTAAACGTATATAAACGTAAACGATACCATTCCCGACATCCCGTACTAAGATTGTTAATAACTAATTATTGGAGGGCTCTATTGCATTAAGAATTATATGTGAAAGTAGGTAAGAGTTCACGCTACGTTCTTCAATCCTAAAAGTTCACAGAATCATCCTAATTAACGAGTTATTAAAGATTCTTCCCTTACCGACTAGATGTAGCGTGTGGGAGGCGGAGCATAGCTGCCCGCGGACCAATAGGAAGCGTTCTCTCTCTGTCCTTCTCGCACACTAGTGCTTTCCTTGTCTAATACCTCTGTTTATATCATGTGTTCCTATTAAAAAGTCGTAGTTCCGATCT